AACACTCCTATAATGCTCTCTCCACCGAGTCCTGGCTCTGGGAGGCTTCCCCATGGCTCTGAGGCCACCTCCTCCTGGAAACCCTCCCTGATGCCCAGAAAGGTCACTCCTCACCCAGGGAATGCACAACACAGAGTTTACCTTCTGAGGACCCATGGAGCCCACCGACTGTGGGCTGGATGAAGTGTCTTAGCAGACGCTGCTGCTCCAGACCCCTTGCACTCCCCCTTCCTTTCCATGCCCACCAGCCTGGCCACCAGTGCCCTGTACTGCATCTCTGTGGGAAAACTATCCTTGGGTTGCTAGAACCTGCTTTGCCTGAACAAGGAGGTACCTGGGGTTTAATGCTGCCCTCGGGATAGCCTTTAACCAATGACTGATGGATATGGGGGTATAAATACCCGAGCTCTCTCATCTTTGGCTGGGGTAACTGAGTTATGTGCTTTACGCTGTTTTCTAGAGTTTTCCCTGTGGGATCGCTGGCTTAGTCACATGCTCATTATTGCTGCCTTCCCACCCCATCCAACTTCCCCACCCCCGCACGCCTAACAACCGCCCAATAACATGCTTGCACTCCAATCCTTGGCTTAGGGTCTGCTTCTGGGGAACCTATATTCAATCGTGTCGATCTTATCCAGGAGGCTGTGAGCTCATTACTTATCCCAGTCTGTCTTTCTGTCTGTCAAATGGGTCTCAGCTTTGGACCAGGAAGCAGACCTCACCCTTGGTTGTAGGTGGTCAGGAATCGATGATCCCTGTCAGGATCACAGGGGCTCTGGACATAGCTTGGGTTGTTAAGGCTGAACCCTGTGGGCTCCTGCACAAGAGGGGTAGAGAGGGGACTTGTGACCTCAGGAAGGGTGAGGATTTGGGGTGGAGGATGGAGGTAGCAGGTCTCACCTTTTTCCCCACAGTCTCCCGGCCAAGCAGGGCAACGTTTGTCTGTTGCATCCGATGGGGTGGCTGAAACTGCTGATGACTCAGGCTGCTGGGTTCTGGGTGGGAAGGGGGCACCTGCAGGGGACAGAGCCACCAGCAGAAGGGACGCTGAGGTGGCCAGGCTGAGGCAGCAGGGATGGAGGGAAGGCAGGCAGAGGCACACACAGCTGCAACCTGTCCGCAGCCCCAGCGACCCTCCCTTCCCCTTCCAGCCAAGTCTATTTCAGACCACACCCCTGGCCTTCCAGCCCCCAGGAGGGCCCAGACACTCTTCGCCTTCCACCTAGGGCCCTACCTCCACATCCCCAAATATCCTAATTCTTCTCATTCTTCAATGCCTGACCCAAAATGCCACCTTGTCCCAGAAACCTCCCTGTCCCCCACCTTCTCTAAGCGAGGCGCCAAGGTCACTCACTCTAGGGTTCAGAACCCTTTCATTCCCTCGGCTGAAGGCTGTTTCCCGGCCGGAGCCTCTGGCCAGAACAGGTAGGAACTCATCTCCCTGGAGGGAGCAAAGCAGCCACTGGCACCGGGATGTGGCTGCCTCCCCTACTGCCCTCCAGAGCCATGACCTAACTGCCCCCGCCCCCCGGCCAGGCAGTCCCCAGCCTCCCCCTAGCTCAGCTTACATGCAGGTGAGTCTTGGGGAGGAAGCTTGACTTGGTGACACTCTGGCCTGGGAGCAGGGCCTGAAAGGAGGCCCACAGAGGGTGTCAGCCCCGCAGAGGCAGGCCAGGCCCCTGGCGGCTCCTACCCAGTCTGCCTCCAGGCCCCTGCTGTGCTGAACACAGAGGAGGACTCAGCTCTCACGGGTATCATTGAGAAAACGGAAGTGTTTGGGGAGAAGACGGGGGAAGGCATGACCCTGAGTGGGGCCAGCAGGCCAGGGCTCTTGTCTGAACTCTGGATGACCTCGGCTACACCTCTTCATCTCTTTGGACCTCAGTCTTCTCATCCATAAAATGGGGGAATGGGACCAAAGCAACGGTTTTCACCTAAGCTCTCTGACCTTGTTTTTGAACAAAGAGCTCTGTAGCTCATATTCTTTAGGGAAGCTAGAAACCCTGAGACTGGAGGGCTTCAAGCCCCGGAAAGTTCTAGCTGGACCCCAGCGGACTTACCGGGTCCCCAGGGAGAGCCTGTGAGGGGGGCTGGAAGACAACGGGGCTCTGGTGCGACTCTTTGGTGAAGCCGCTCCCCTCCTTGGCGCCGATTGATTTCTTCTGCAACAGATCTGCAAAAGACATGCCCCCTGTGCTGCCAGGCCACCCGGCCCACCCATGAGTCCTCCAGAGGCTCAACGTCCCAGCACGTGGGAAGGAGCGGACCCCAAGATCCTGGAGACGTACGTCATGGGGGTCGTGGGCAGCAGGGGGAGGATTCCAGTGTCCAGGCCGGAGGACAGGAGAGGAAGCAGCAGGAAGGGCACACGCCGGCCAAGCCGCCCTCCTGGGAGGCCCAAGGCGCTGAGGTCAGCCCCAGAGAGGCGCGTCCCTCCAGCCGCCTGTGCGTCCTTCTTTCTTCCACTGGTGCCTTCTTAGTCCTAGGCCAGCTCCAGGCCCCTCGGGGTAGGAAGTAGGGAGGGTGATTGGAAGGGAGCTGTGAGTTCCGACAGGGCCTACCTGGCTGATCTGGAGGCTCCCTCAGATACTTGGAATTGTACTCCGAAGTCATGAAGCGCGGGCCCTGGAACACAGAGGTCGCAGGAATGGGGACACCGGCCCACCAGGGCCCCGAAGGCGTGCGGCTGTAGGGGGGCGCCTGGGTTGGTTATCTGTGCTCTGAGGAGGCCTACGTGGGCCACTACGCACCCTGGACACAGGGGTCTCTCTGGGGTGGAGCATGGCGAGGTCAGGAATTCCAGCACAGGAGCACAGTGCCCCTGGGACTGTGACTACCACGTCACACACCACGCCAGACTCCTGGTGATGAGTGGGGGGTCCAGAGGGACCCAGACCAGGAGGGGCCGAGAGCGAGAGGAAGAAGGCAAGGGAAGAGCATCTGCGTTAAATCGAGAGAAGCCACATTGATGGTGTTTTGGAAAGAGCCAATGTCAAATCCTTTGCTCTCCTGTCTTTCTGGGCGCCCTGCGTCCACACTGAGTTGGCTTCTTGGGTGAGTCAGAGCAACACCTGCCTCAAGGTGGGAGGAGGCGGTGGGTGCAGCTCCTCTGCCCCACCCCAAACCCTTAGCGAACTGCCACTCACATATCGGAAGTTCTCCCGCGCCAGGGAGTCCTGGCCCTGCTGCTGGTGGAGGAGGGGCACTTCCCTGGGTTCTAGCCCTGTGATGGCCTGAGGCCCATGCTCCTGGGTGTCGAAATGGACCTTCCGGACCTGGCAGGAAGAAGGGCCAATGACAATCAAGGGGGCCGCAGTCACTACCTGACTGATTGTGCCCTTGACCTCTACAGAGCACAGTATCTGCATAGCCGCCAGAGGGGGTCCCTTTACAATGAAACCTGCACGTCCCTTCTCTGCTCAGAGCTCTGCAGCCTTCCCATCGTGCACACAGGGAATTCCACGTCCTGCTGGTGGCTCACAAGGACCTGAGGGCCTCACCCAGCTCCAGCCGCTTGTCTCTCTTCTGCCCCACCTCAGCGCCTTTGCACCTGCGGTTGGCACTGCCTGGACCACTCGTCCCTCACACAGCTGTGTCTGGAGGCGCTGGCCTCCCTCAAGCCTTTGTCCAGGCCCCCATAACAAGCTCTTCCCACCCTCCAGTGCACAGGCAACTCCTTCACTTATTTATTTATTTATTACTTTTTTTTTTTTTTTGAGGCAGAGTCTCGCTCTGTTGCCCAGGCTGGAGTGCAGTGGCATGATCTCAACTTACTGCAAGCCTCCACCTCCCGGGTTCAGTCAATTCTTATGCCTCAGTCTCCCAAGTAGCTGGGACTGCAGACGCAAGCCACCAAGCCCAGTTAAATTTTTTGTATTTTTTTGGCAGAGATGGGCTTTCACCATGTTGACCAGGCTGGTCTCAAACTCCTGGCCTCAGGTGATAGGCCCACCTTGGCCTCTCAAAGTGCTGGAACTACGGGTGTGAGCCACCACGTCCAGCCCTTTTTTTTTTTTTTTCTTTTTTGAGATGAAGTCTTACTCTGTTGCCCAGGCAATCAGCCTCACTGCAACCTCCGCCTCCCAGGTTCAAGGGATTCTCCTGCCTTAGCATCCCGAATAGCTGAGATGACAGGCACTGGACACCATGCCCGGCTAATTTTTGTATTTTTAGCAGAGGTTTCGCCATGTTGGCCAGACTGGTCTCGAACTCCTGACCTCAAGTGATCCACCCACTTTGGCTTCCCAAAGTGCTGGGATTACAGGCGGGAGCCACTGCACCCAGCCTGCAACTCCTTCACTTCTCTTCCTCCCTACTTCTCCCTCGTTGTATTTCTCACCCCAACACTCCACTGACTCATTATCTCCAAATATGAAGGAGATATTCAGAACATACAGGTTGGATGAATGAATGACTGTCCATTCTGGTGGTGGTGCTGATGATAGGGACGGTGGAAACAATGAGGATAGAAATCAAAAAGATGGCCCAGGCACTGTAGCTCACGCTTGTAATCCCTGTACTTTGGGAGGCCAAGGTGGAAGGATCACCTGAGGTCAGGAGTTCGAGACCAGCTTGGCTAACATGGCGAAACCCCATCTCAAAAATAAATAAATAGTAAATAATAAAATAAAATAAAGAAATGAAAAAGATGGCCCGGGCGCAATGGCTCATGCCTGTAAACCCTGCATTTTGGGAGGCGAAGGCGGGCAAATCACCTGAGGTTAGTGGTTCAAGACCAGCCTGGTCAAGATGAAACTCCATCTCTACAAAAATACAAAACTTAGCTGGGCATGATGGCAGGGGAGACTGAGGCAGAAGAATCGCTTGAACCCAGGAGGCGGAGGTTGCAGTGAGCCAAGATTGCACCATTCCACTCTAGCCTGGGTGACAGTGCGAGACTCCCTCTCAAAAAAAAAAAAAAAAAAAAAAGAAATGGAAAGGATAAATGGAAAGGATAAAATATGGGGGTAATGATGTTGATGGTGGGGGGCTGTGGTGGTGGCAGGGAAGGCGATGGGGCTGGCAGGTGTGCACAGGAGTGTGGGGCTCATGGGAATGGGCAGGGATGGGGATGGAAACGGAGGTGGAGGTCATGGTGGAGCTGGGGCAGGCAATGGAGGTTGTGGGGAGGGTGGGGATAAGGATGAGGACAAAGGGGAGAAAGAGGAGTGGACCCCATCCCTACAACGTGGCTGCTCCAAGCCCTGTCACCTCCACCTTGACCAACTATTGGCAATGCAGCCACAGTCCCACCCCACGCTAGGGCTCCACTCTCCCGGCCCTAGCCCAGCACTGACCTCCTTGGTCGGGGGGCCGGCACAGGGCTGCTCCCGCCCGTAGCCTGAGCTGGTCTGGTGCATGCTCCAGGGCAGGGGCTGCTTGCCATCCAGCACCTCCAGGGGGCGGTAACTCTGGCTGCTTATGGACTGGAAATGGTCCCGGGCTTGTTCCCTGAGGGTGAGGCTGAGCTAGAGGTCCTCTGCCCAAGAGCTTCCCTCCTCCCTGCACCCTCCCACAGATGGCTCAGGGGTCTTCCGTGCCTTGAGCCACCCAGGACTCCAGGCAAGGCTCCGGGTCCCCATCCACAAAGCCTGGAGTTGGTCTGATGAGCAGGGCAGGGGCTGGGAAGGGGTCATATAGACTGTACCCCATGGCCGGGTTGTCTAAGGCCTCCAGACTGGCTTGGCTTGAAACCACGGGCTGGAAATTTGATTTGTAGCCGGTGCCTGTGTGACTGCTTACTCGGGGCTTGAAATCCTCCCGACCTGCCAGAGACAGGCCCCAGGGTCAAAAACAGGCAGGGCTTCCCAGGCAGGGCCCGCATACTCTGAGGGGCCCGGGGGTCACAGTGACAGGGGAGGGCTCAGAGCCACAGGCTGGAGCCTCGAAAGCCTGGCCTTTCAGGACTGTGATGGCAGGAAATGGAGTGGGTGGGCTGGGGACAAGGTCAGTGTGGCATAATCACAGTGACAGAACTGCAGGGACAGAATCGGAGAAGGGAGCTGCTGGACAGGGCTCAGGGACAGGGCTCAGGGACAGATGGATTCAGCGGACAGGGTTGCCCTTCAGTGTGACAGCCAGAGGGGGTTCTCCTCCCTCAGAGAGAGCCCCCCCTTCCTGCCCTGGCCCAGGGGAGGTTCCTGCACAAAGGTGCCCTCACCATAGGCTGTGCAGTAGCTGGTGGCATAGAATTTCAGGGGGTCTGTGGAGCCCCCCGAACTCATCTTCACATAAGGGGAGACGACCCCTAGGGGGAGTTTCCCCATCATGATGCCGTGGGGCAGGGCCCCGGGGGGACTGGAAAGGAAGCACAGGGAGCCTTGTGGGTCCCAAGCCTGGCTCAGAAGCCCAAAGCGGTGAAGATCTGCCCCCCACCCCCCACGCAGCTGGCCCCTTCTCCCAGGCCTCTGTCCCTCTGGTCCAGCTCCCACATCCCTAAACTGAGGACGAAACCGATCATCCACACTTATCCTAAGAGTCCTTGTGTCTCCTTTCACTTTCCACACCTTATTTATTTTTATTTATTTTTATTTTTTTCAACAGAGTCTTGCTCTGTCACCCAGGCTGGAGTGCAGTGGCGCAATCTCGGCTCACTGCATCTCTGCCCCCAGGGTTCAAGCAATTCTCCTGTCTCAGCCTCCCGAGTAGCTGGGATTACAGGTGCGTACCACCGCGCCCAGCTAATTTTTGTATTTTTAGTAGAGACGGGGTTTCACCATACTGGCCAGGCTGGTCTCAAACCCCTGACCTTCTGATCCACCCGGCTCAGCCTCCCAAAGTGCTGGGATTATAGGTGTGAGCCACTGAGTCCAGCTTTCACACCTTATTGTTAACTCTTCCTGTCCCCATTTACAGCCAGGGCAGTGAGGTTCCAAATGATAAAGGATTTGCTCATAATAGGTGGCAGTGCCGGGATTGAGACCTAGGGCATTTGACCCCTCGCCCCCGACCTGAACCTTACATACCTACCTCTCAGAATGAATGAGCCGACAACCTCCTGCCTGGGGAATTCTTGGCACCCCACCCAAGATGTCAGGCCGGGACCCTCACTCCCAGCCCCCCGGCTCCTCTCTCTCCCTCAGCTCCCCTGGCCTTGCCTGCTTCTAACCTTGCCTGCCTCCCCTGGGAGTTGGCTGGGCTCTCCCTGAGGCCCAACCACAGCGACCCCACCCTCACCTTTCCTCTGCAGAGGCTCTGAGGTCAGGGAGAGGCTTCAGGAGTCAGAGCTGCTCCAGAGAAGCCAGTCCTGGAGGTGGCCATGTAGGAGAAACAGTGTGTATGTAACCTAGCAACTGGCGCCTAGCAACAGCGTCCCCAGGCTTCTGAGCCCTTCTAGGGCCAGGGCCCACTGAGGGGCTGACCTGGCCAGGAGGGGAGGGCCAGAAGCTGCCTGTGCAAGGCTCCGCCCCAGGGCTCCAGCCCTGACCTCCGGCCTCCTCCACAGGCCCGGGAAGAGTTGCCGCCTACAGAACATAAAATAAAAGATAATCCCGAACACTCAGTCCCATTAAGTACCCACTTCTCGGCAGACACTACATCCTCTACCTCCATCCACTGAGCAGCTCTTCAGGTAGCTATGATTATCCCCATTTTCGCCAGGGGAACAAGAGGCTTAGACAAGCAAAGCGACTTGACTCCAGAGATCTCGCATTAAGAAAATAGCCGTGTTCAGATTCAAACGTGGGTGGATCTGTATCCCGCTCTTTTGCCTCTGGGTCAATCAATGTTTATTACGTTCCGCTGCAGCTAGATCTGTGCCAAGCCCTTTAACACACACTGCATCGTATAATCCCCCAAACCACTCTGTGAACTGGGTACCATTACTGTGGGGCCAAGAAGCTGCACCAGGTAAGAGTGTGGTTCAAATCTCACCTGTCACCTCTGATGAAATACTTATCCTCTTCACGCCCCCATATCCCCGTCTTCACAAGGGATGTGACTGCACCCACCTCACAGCGCTGCTGGCAGATCTAGCGAGAGCGTGGATCCAGCACCTGGCAGGTAGTCTGTAGCGGACCAACGACCTGGGCAGGAATTCAGAGGTCGGGGATCAGGGTCTGGAGGCGCTGTCCCATCAGAGCTCCCATTAGGTCCTGTTCTCCGGCGGCCTGAGGGTTTTTTTGCTGTGTGGCGACACCCAGCGGCCATAACTCGTAACTGCAGGAGATGCCGCAGGGGCATCCCCTAATAAGAGCTGGGGGGGCGGTCCTAGGAGTGGGGGACAGGGTAGCTCTGTCGCCCTGGCCACAGGCCCTCACCAAGCCTCACTCTCCCCTCCCTCCAGGACAGAAGGGGCCGGTCTGGGCAAGGAGTGTCCCTGGAGGGCAAGCGCTGGAGTCCACAAGGAGCAGGAGCCCAGGTGCCAGATGACCCAAACGCAGTGTGACTTTTGGACCTGTCATCTGTGGACCTCCGTCCTTCTATCTGCAAAATACAGGAACAGACTAAAAGTCCTTCAATACTGGAAAATCTAGGCCCGCCTTATCCCACTCCTTTCCTGTATCCATCACCATTCATCAAGCACGTTCTTGTGCCAGAACTGAGCTACAAATCACCTCATTGCTTTTCCCTCCCAGCCCTATAATGGGAACTACTGTAATTGTGCCCATTTTACATATGAGAAAGCTGCTTGAGGGCTCACAGACAGGGAGGAGTGGAGCTAGGATCCAAACTCAGCTCTGACCCTGGAATCTATGCTCCGCCCTTTGGAGCAAACCAGCAAATTCTCCAGAAAGCGCTGGGACGGTAGCACTGGGCTCTTAGCCCTTGGTGAAGCTCGATGATTTTCCAAAGGGATGGACTGCCCTGACCAGGTGGGCAACTGCCTCCTCCTTTCTAGCCCTTCCCAGTCCTAGGCAGTAAGATTCCCGTTTCTGGCCAGGTGTGGTGGCTCACACCTGTAATCCAGCACTTTGGGATTACAGGCTGAGGCAGGCGGATCACCTAAGGTCAGGAGTTCGAGACCAGCCTGGCCAACATGGCAAAACCCCGTCTCTACTAAGAATACAAAAAGTAGCTGGGTATGGTGGCGGGTGCCTGTAATCCCAGCTACTCGGAAGGCTGAGGCAGGGAGAACTGCTTGAACCTGGGAGGCGGAGGTTGCAGTGAGCCGAGAGTATGCCACTGCACTCCAGCCTGGGCGACAGAGCGAAATTCCGTCTCGAAAAAAAAAAAACAGTAAAAAACAAAAACAGAAAAAAGCAAAGATTCCACTGCTTCCCTCCTGTAAGAAGGCAGAGGCCACAGATACACTGGGTTAGCAGAGAGGACCCAGTGAGGGGACATACTGAGCCTCAGCCCATAGAGCTCCTTGGCTGGGATCGATGGGGTAGGCCCTAACAAGCTTCCAAGGTCAGAGCACACCACTACTGACCTCTGAGTCCTGAACAGAGACAGACGTCTGCACTGTGTGTGCTGGGCTGTGTGGGCTGCACTTCCCCAAAGGAGGATTAACTCAAGTGAATGAGACACATACCACTAAGTGTGCGTTGTTTGGCTTTGGTTGACATGGGTCTTTATGGCTGCCCTCAGAGGGAAGCCAGGGCTCTTGTAGAGAAGAGACAGGTTGGCATACTTCAGCGTAATGGATAGAAAAGCCTCCTAGGGCCGGGCGCAGTGGCTCAAGCCTGTAATCCCAGCACTTTGGGAGGCCGAGGCGGGTGGATCACGAGGTCAAGAGATCGAGACCATCCTGGTCAACATGGTGAAACCCCGTCTCTACTAAAA